CTCTCGTCCGTTCTGAGGGCAATGCTTCGAGTGGTAGTGGTAACGCACTGCACCCCCATCGTATGTGGTCAGACGGTGGTAGCAGCGACGGCGAAAGACAAAAAGTAAGATGTGGTATCATCGGCGGAGGCGGTGATTACGCCGATATACAGCTGAGGTCGAAAAACAAAATCGGCAGTACGTGCTATGTGGACAGTCGGTTTATGAACAACGATGGACAGCTGTGAGCACGTCCTTCCGTTCGTCATTCTGGCCGACTCGTCCTTTTTCCGTGGTCGTTCGATGCCCGTTTCAGCAGTCACTGCTGCTCTCAGTTCAACAACATTCCATGTCAGTTAAATTCTTAATGTAGAACGGGCGGCTCAACCCTGCTTCTGGTTCCGACTTAGACAGTTTATCGCGCTTCTGGCGACTGACTTCTTGTTTTCCAACGAAATATGTGAAACGGTGACCATTGGTTTGGCACCTATCGTCAAGGAGAGAATCGACGCAAATATAACAGTTCTGACCGAACTTATGTTGAGCGATGACGTTGAAAGATGACATCCCGTAGGAATTTGGAAACGGAAACGTGTGACTCCGCGGATGATGAATCAGATATGCTCAGATCAGGTCAGATCAGTGGATGGTCACTCAAGTTTCAACTGAACGGCATACCATGGGGATTGCACGCTGCATTAACTGATGGTGCCATCGACGCGGATCTGACGGTGACGTATGTTGAACGAACTGTCGAAGTTGCGACGTGATTTCTTTCGATGTGGTGGAAAAGTTTATGACGATTTCGGCGACTTGTTCGTTGCAGACGAATGTCTTTCGTTGCTTGTTATGTAAATGCTGCGCGCGTGTTTGTTTTAATAAAACTAAGCTACCGAAGATCCCATTTATGCTTGAATGATCAAATAAGTTCATCCAAGACAGTAAACGACGGATTGCTGCGAGGCTTCGTCTTTGCACCCCTATTCTTCAACATCTGTATGGGCGACGGCGCCAACATCAGCCAGAAAATGTACCGGTGCACGTGATATGGCATTTGCGCTTGAAGGAAGAAGTCTCGACCAGGTCACCGTAGTTCTAATAGCCGACCTGAAGGCAGTCGAAGGCTACTACCAACGCTGGCACCTTTGCCCCAACCCGTCGCCAATGTCTGTCTGCCACCGCTTTTCATCTTAACAATCGTCCGGCAAAGCTACCTTGAAATGCCTTTCTATAACTATCGAAACAGAAATGAGGCCATCTTCGTATACCTGGGATTAACCATGGACCGCAGGCTTATGTACCGCGAACACCTCTGAAGGACCCTTGTCAAGACTAAGACTCAAAGCAACATCGTGCAGAAATTGGCCGGAGCAAGCGGGCTGTCTGACGGTCACACCCTATGAAAGTAGCCCTCGATATTGTATTCTTTGTAGCGTAGAAATGTACATCGGCGTGGCTCCAAAAGCTATACTCGGAATCTCGATGTCATTCTCAGCAACATATGGGGGTCATAAGAGGAACAGCGCTGTATTTGCCTGGTTACCGGCACTCTCAAACACCTCCATCCCACATCAGACGGCACCGAGGCTGCCTCAGCGGGTACTGCAATATCCAGGGTGAACCGTTCTTGTCTGTTCCTTAAGACTTCAAGAACCATCCTACGGCAAGATTTAAATCGCGGAAATCATTCTGACAAATTGCCCACGACGCAATTGATGAGTGGATGTAAGTCTGGCAGAATTCCAACGTGCCGAACAGCAACCTAATGGGCACTTCGACAAGAGTTCTGTCTGAATTCTACTTGGCCCGTAAACAGTCGGCAACTTTAAACAAGATGTGCACGACCCACGTCAGTACTGGGTACTACCTGCACACTTGTGGTTACAAGGAAACTGCAGCTAGCAGTGGCGGTTACCCAGACCAAACAGTCGACCAGATTGTGAACCAAGGTAATTCAAGAAAGGAATCGGCATATCGCATACATTGGCAGCCGGTTAGATCGCTTAGCTGTCGAAATTAGATTTAATGTTACAGATAGCCGTTGCTGCCATGCGCAAGAACAAGAAGCTACCTAGCATAGACAGTGACACCTGCATTAAATACTTAAATCGAAGAACTTCGTATGATAAAATGTTTGTTTGGTTGTCCTGTGAATGTATCGTATACCAACACTTTCAACTGTTAACCAATTAGTGCTATTTGCTTTTTTCTGCATTATCCTTGTTTTTCGACGCCCTACAAGGGCAGATCAGTATCCCTCTGATCTTCCGTTACTTCTTTTCTGGCGAATGATTGTTTGGCCGTGCATATAAGGTATCAGCCCAAATAAATTGTTGCTGATTTCTCCTCGGCCCAATCGATTCTCAGCTAAAGCACTTTGTTAAGCTTAATAATTAGCGGATGACGAATTGCAGGGTGTAAACTTACTCTTACTCTTACTCGTTACCTACGCATTCTCCTGTGCCACTTTCAGAATGTTTTGAACGTAAGGAATCTTGGGAGAGAAACGAAAATCCGCTAGAATTGACGTCGAAAGGCAAATGCTGTAGGATAATTATTCGGGCATGCGGAAATGTCAACCGCGACAAACATTATATAAGTGCGAAGTGAACCGACTTTGTCGTATTTCTTGCCATCGTAAGGAGTAGCATTGGTCATACTGATCGAAGTGCTTCAGCTGGTGCAAATGATGACATGAACTTTACTCTAAAGTAGGATCCTACTCTACGGACCAAAACGTTGATGGCGGTCGATCATTCGTTTCCATGATCACAGCATGGATTTTGACGTGTGTTGGAGTTGAGATTCGGACGAGAATGCGGTTATTCCTGATTCGACGGTTGGAATCGTCAGCGAACGACGTTTATCGATGTCAAAGTAAATTCTAAATCGAATGTCATATTTATCTCTTAAAAAACTGTTTCACAAAATTGAAAACGTGAATGAAATATTTAGTCACCTATGCACAGAGTTTTCGATCACAGAAGTTATGGGCAAAGATGGATTTTTCAAAGTGATGCATTGGTAAGTAACGTGTTATGTCACAAGGAAATTTTTGTCTATCTTTTTCTTAAGCTTTTTATTGAGCTGAAGCTCTAGTTGCAGCATATGTTTATTCAAATGTATTGTCAGTTTTGTCTCTCACGTTGCTCAGTGTACTTTCATGACCAGAAAATTGCACCTTTTGGAAAACATATCAGCTGGAAACAGTATCATAGTTGAACCGTTGACTTCATACTCCATTTCAGTACCGTACAGGCTACAATTCATCGTTACAACAGAAATTGTTCGATTGAAGGCCTAATGCAGCTCGTTAGCGAGAACATGTTCTGTGAACATGTAGGGCGATTGTACGGTAAATAAATATCTTTGCTTTTTAACTGTCCGTTAATATCATGATGCTAGCATTTCCTTTAGAGTGCGCTTGTACTGTAGTTGAATTTGATCTGATGCCGTTCTTTGCGATACGGTACGAATTTTTGTCGGATGCGATAGATACAGTGATATCGTGATGCCGGAATTTCTCAGGTACATGAAAAATACGCCGTGTACGCAAGAAGCGCACACAACGGGCGATTACGGTGTCCTAAAAGCTGCTTTGGGTGTCAAGTCTCACCTTATAACCCTCTCTATCAGCGGTCACCAACCTTTCGCACAGCACTGACCACTAAATTCAAAATTTTGAATCCCCGGACCTCTGCCATGATTTTTTCCATTAAAGTAACATTCCAAATATGAAATGGTACTTCTACTTGTTTTTGAACTCCACAAGTTATTTGCAAAAAATTGGATATCGTTAATGTTAATATAATTAGTATGATGACCTTATAATGATAAAAAGCGCAGATATATTCATTATGAAAGTATGAAATAACATTTAAATTTCATTTTCCTAAAGCCAATTAACAGAAACAATGAATATTAACAATTTTCAAATATCAAGTCCACCTTGACATAGAGGTGTATAAAGAATTAATTTTAGCAAAATGATCAGTGTGACATTTGTTGCTGCTTGTTTGAAATAAGCTGTTCGATTCTTGGCTCCAGTGACGTTACTGCAACATTGAGAGCCGTTTGTATTTCTAACCAAGAGCGGTACTTGTTTTTAATCGCCGTAACTGATGAAAATGTTTTTTTTAACACATATGTAGTTGCGAATGGAATTGAAATTTTCATGGCCTTTTCACTCAGCACTCGGTGCTCACTGTTTACGGAAAGCCGAAAGAGGTCTTGTTAAGGACCAGTGGAATTTTCTTTCGAGACTGTCGTCAGATGGCTTTCTTTTTCTTTCATGTTCGAATTACTGTCCTCGATTTTCACAGAAAGTGGATCCTTTATCCTCCTATTTCCGTGTTTTGGGTCCTCTTCCTTTGGGTAATAACGACCAAAAGAGTCAGTGAGCGACTGTAAGTGCAATCGAGTAAGAGCTTTGACCTGTCGATTGACATCTTGTTTCATATAATCATCATAATTCGGGAGCTTCTGCAGATCTTCAACCAACTGCGTTTACCACAGCAATATCTTTTTTTTGAAAGCCGTCTGTTTTGCATCGCACTGTGAACACGTCCATAAGCTAAGCTTGCAAGGACGTGTTCAGATCGTTTAATAGAGAATAAATATCTGCCAAGTATGCAAGCACGTTTAGCCAATCATTGTCGGTCAGGAGATGATGGAACCTCAAATTATTTTACTGCTGGAAGAATAATTTGTCATCTTGGCGCAGATCGAACAATCGGGTTAGTTCCTTGCCCCTCAACAGCCATCTCACTTCAGCGTGAAGAAGACCATGAATAGTATGCTGAG